ATACCTCCCTTTGAAGTTACAATATGTCTTCCCAAAAATTATTTTCTTTTCAAATAAAATCATATTACACTGATGATATCACAGAAGTCTTTAACTACAAAAGACTCACCAATACGATTTTAATACTATTTAAAGGTTCTTCCAAAGGAAGAGATATCATATAACATACTAGTAATAACTCTGGTGACGTACGGTATGGGAAATATTTTAATCATTGAATGATCAACCAAATTTGGCAACTAACGCAATTAAAATCATTATTGTTTTTACACTTATTACCCTTTAAACAATGCTAAATGCTCAAAATATGTATATTTCACCCAATTTATCGCAGTTAGATGAATTAACGTAGGCCTAAGCCTTGAAAGTAACCCTCGATTTTGACAGGTTTCACCTAGTACCTTTAAAATGATGTATAACATGACATATGTTTACATTGGAAAATTCCAAGATTCGAACTAGTGACCCTCAGTTTTTGGCACACTCTGTATTGAGAAAAAGTTAAAAATACTTTTACGTTATTCCTTGGGTCGATTTAACCGGAAATAATTTTATTTCATACTTGTACGTTAAGCTGTTTTTCCGTAATCAATTTGAGACACCTGTCGTGGGACACCCTGTTGTATACAGGGTGATTGATATAAGTGTTGCCAGCTGTTTTATCCGAAAACTATACATGATATAAAAAAAAATTAAATGGTAAGTGCCTTGGATTTTATATTTTAAAAATTGTAGTCAAGTCGAAAAAAATATTTTAGCCGCCATTTTTCCAATATGGCCGCCAACTTAGATTTTTCTTATGGAACACCCTGTACTTTATGATGTATTCCAGTAAAAAATGTAATTTTAAGACCATTTTACTCTTGTGTTTTTTTTCATAAACCTAACCGTTTCAAAGATAATAATGGTTAAAGTTGTGAAATTTCAAATAGTTTTCGAATAAAACAGCTGGCTTGCTTGCTTAGGCCTTTATCGAAACTCTTTCTCATGCCAAAATTTCAAAAATTTAACCATTATATATAAAACGGTTAGGTTTATGAAAAAAAAACACAAGATTAAAATTGTCTTAAAATCACATTTTCTACTGGAATACATCACAAAATACAGGATGCTCCATAAGAATAATCAAAGTTGGCGGCCATATTGGAAAAATGGTGGCTAAAATATTTGTTTCGACTTGACCACAAGGCACCTAAAAAAATCTTTGGCTGCAAAATTTAACTTATTTTGATATCTCTTATAGTTTCCGAATAAAACAGCTGGCACACTTATATCAATCACCCTATATATGTATATATGAATTTGAACGGATGGTGTTTTTGGCCTCTAAAAGTAAATCGGTCCCGGGTCCAGGTCTTACCATGAGTACCACGGTAATAGCTTACTCCTTATATGGGAAATTCGCTAATAAAACTTATGATTTGGTTGATCTACAAAAAGGAAGAAAAGTCATTAATAATCCGCTGGGTATTTACACTGAAAACAAATTCTGAGAACGAGATCATTCGTTACAAGGTGTGTTTAGTCACAAAAGGATTTACTCAGCATCCTAGTATTGATTATGGTAACACTTTCAGCTCTTTAGCTCGGTTTGAGACGATGCGAACTATGTTAGGCTATTCAGTTCAGTACAATCTTACTATCAAGCAGTTTGATGTTAAGATAAAACAAAAACAACATTTTTGAATGGCAATCTTGAAGAGACTGTTTATATGAGACAACCATGTGGATATGAAGATGGAACTAATCGTGTATGTAATTTGAAAAGAAGTATTTATGGCTTGAAAGAAGCATCAAAGTGTTGGTACAAGTGTTTGAGTTCTTGTTGAAATGTAATCTGAAAGAGAGCAATTTTGATCCTTGTTTGTTTTATGGAAATAGCTTGTTCGTATTTTTTCATGTAGATGATGTAAATAATTGGCCATGAGGCAGCAGTTGGAGATTTAGTAACCGAACTGAGATCAAGATTTTAAATTGTTTTACATGATGCTGGCTTATTTTTTAGGTTTACAATTTACAAATAAAAAAAGAAACGGGGACTACTTACATATCAATCAGACTGGCTACATCAACAAGATCCTCGACTGGCTACGGCATGACAGATGCTAAACCTTTGCATCCATTGAACCTGGATGAAATTCTGGAGATTCTCCACTGGTAACAGATGCCATAAACTACCGTCAAATGGTTGGAAGTCTACAGTACTTAGAATCTGCAACTCGTCCTGATATATCTTTTGCAGTTGGGATTGCATCAAGAGCAAAAGCACAAGATAAACCAACTCAATCTCACATAGGTTTGGTAAAGAGAATATTAAGGTATCTAAAAGGAACAACAACTCATGTAATTGCTTTTGAGAAAAGCAGGAACAATTCTATTGAAGCTTTTAGTGATGCCGACTTTGCTGGAGATAAGGAAACTAGACGGTCAATAAGCGGGATATCTACTTGTAAAGCTTTTTGGTGGACCAGTTATTCGGAAGAGTAAGCTTCAACGGTGTGTTTCCCAATCTTCAATGGAAGCAGAATATGTTGCTGCTAGCGAGACCTGTAAATCCCTTGTATGGTTAGATCGTCTTGTGAAAGAGATTGGCGCAATTGAAGAAAAGTCTATTCCTATACTACATGTGGACAATCAAAGTGTAATTAATCCAATGTTCCACAAACGCTCTAAAAATATTGAGACTAGATACCATTATTATGTTCGACAGTTGGTCTCTGGGAAACAGATCGATGTCATTTACATTCCAACTGAAGAACAAACCGCTGATATTTTAACAAAGGGCTTATTATCCTTGAAACATGTTAAAATGAAAACTTTCATTGGAATGGTGACCTCTTAACTAAACTTACTTTTCTAAAATGTATTATGGACATTATGGGGGTGTGTTAAAGATATAATTTATTCATATTATAATGTCCATAATATTTATGTTGGAAAATAACATATGATATTTCCTTGGTAACAGTTTGTTATTTTTTGATGAAGTAAGATGTATACAAAAATCTAGGTTCTGTTTTACAATAAATTAACTTGATTTTTGATCCACTAGTCGAGTTGTTATTTTAGACGATATTTCCAAAAAAATTTATTTATCTGTACATGGCAATAACTATTTTACATTAAGTTTCTTGATGTTTGATAAAGATAAATATGCAACATGCATGGCTCAATCAATTTGACTGAAAATAATATACGAGAAGCTAGTTGAGTTATTACATGCGATTTTCATTAGGCCTAGAAAGACAACATACAATAATCAACAACAAAGAGTAAGAATAGTAATAGACATTTTATAATTTAATGACATAGATTATAAATATTTTAATGAAAATAACAGTGATAAATAAATTAAAAAAAGAAAATAACTTAAAATGAAGGAATATATAATGATATTAACATTGCTGCACTTGCTCTAACTGATAATGTGACCCTTTAGAGGCACCACCAAAAGCAGGATCTGGTCAGCAGCCCCTGTTAAATCTCCTAAGGTAGTTAACATGAATGTTAACTAAACATCAAGGTAGTTAATAGCATCTTGAACACCAAGCAGCTGGAGAAAGCGCCTGTGGACAATGTTCAGGAGTTATAGTGGCCAACCTGATGAGCCCACAAAGGAGAAGCTAGGGACGTGGCTCATCTAGAGACAAAAGCGTTTGAGAGTTCCAATATGGCTTTGCAATGGTTCAAAAGCAACAAGAAACAGCTGTCAAACAAAAATGTTCCAATTCCATTTTAACACGTTCACTGCTAATGACGCACTTGTGCGTCATAAGTATATTAGCAGATATATAATACATGATGTATATAATTACATAATATATTTTAATCCACAATTTATAGTATAAAATTTATTTAATTAAAGATATATTGTCACTCAATTAACATGATCATGTTAATGTTTATGTTTTTTAGCCATTTATAAAAGTATTACATATCATTAGCAGTGAATGTGTTAACAGCTAAAAAAAAAAACACGTTCCGCTGACTGTTTTGTTCACGCGAAGAGATCTCTTCTTGCAGCAATTCTTAGTTTCTTGGTTTGGTCTTAGATAGTCAGCTCAACTTTCATGACCATATAGAGCTCATATCCAGAAGAATTAGCACAGGAATTTTTGTGATAAGAGGTCTTTCAAAGTTTACTGATTCTCGTGTGACCTTGTGTGCTTATTACGGACTGATTTATCAATTTTTGTTTTATTTAGTGGCAGTCTGGGGCTGTGAGAGTGTTTGAACTAAGTTTGTCTTCCAACTCAGAAAAAAGCTCTAAGAGCCGCCTTTAGAATATCCTGTTGTACTTCTTGCAAGCCTCTCTTCAAGAAATAAACACAATATTCTTACATTTCCATCCATTATTCTTACATTTCCATCCATATACATACTGAATTGTCTGTCGTTTTTAAATATGACTAAATATTTGAAACTTGTTTGTAAATGTAGATGGGTATTGATAAACAAATAAAACTTGGACTAAAACGTTGAACAATTAGATAGGCCTATCAATTTTGTTCTTTCTCTGCTTTTTATATTTGATTTTAATTGTATTTTTAATTGTAGTTTAATGTATGCGATATATTGCTTGCCCCTCATGCTCAGAATAATTTAAAATATTTGAATTTGTTTTTGATGTACTTTATTTATGTTTTGCTTTTTATTTTATACTTTTAGGGCTATTATGTTATTTTGACTAAAATGATATTGTATTGTGCCAACCACAACAGACGGGTTTTATAGCATTCCTTTTGCTAAACATAGACGTAGACATAGACGTTTATTTAATATTTCATTTATCACGAGGTAGGCTATATGGTGTGGTAGGAAGAAATGAAGTGTGTCTGTCCATTTTACCTAGCACAGTGATTCAACTGATATTGTCTAACTATAATTTATTTGTTCTGCATTAAGTTAACAGATAAAGATATAATTGAAATTTATTATACATATCAACCTTTTATAGATACAGTAACCGTTTCATGCTGTAATGCTAATTTGTTTTCCAGTTATTAAAGAATGTAACAATTGCTTCTGGTGGAGTGTTACCAAAGATTCACCCAGAACTTTTAGCTAAGAAGAAAGGTGGAAAATTTATCTTGAGTAATAATGTTCCACTGACAGTGCCATACAAGAAACCGATCGCCACAAAACCTTTAGTTTACAAAAAACAGACTACGGCAGCAACGAGCCCTGCATCTCCTGCCCCTGGTTCACCCTCTACAGGTGAGTTTCTGTCCAGCTGAACTCTCCTGCCTAAGCAGTTAATATATAGTAAAAATGTGCCTTCTGGGTGTCCAGCTTATCAGGAAACCAGGAAATGTATATGCATTCTAATGACCAGGAAAAAGCGTGAATTTTGTATGTGGCCAAAAAATTTGGAATAATCAAGAATCGCCATAATCCTGTTGTTGAATTCCCATTAACACGTTGAGCGCGGGGCGGGAAATGTCGTCCTCCTTCCATAATAATAACCTTGCTTCAGTGTGAGCTCAGCCTCATACAAATAAAACACACATCCCCTACCCTTACCTAGTGAGTGAGTCTTTCACTACTCTGTTACTTTTGTTTGTATGCATATTTTCAACAGTGGTAAGTGACATTAGTGATGATAGCACAATTAATTAGAAGTCTTTACCTATTTACTGGACTTGTTTCTTTAAAACTACTGTTTGATAAAAATAAAATGTTCTATTTGTTTTACACAGTTTTTAGTCAAACAGTTTTATTATTAAGGACACATCAAACTAGATTTATGACAAGCATAACAAATATTGTATGTTCAATAAGTACTTGAAGTGTAATCATAGCACTTTTTTAGTTGAAATAATTTTGGAAAAAAAAACCAAAACAAGTAGTATTATCCTTAAAATTAGACCAATTAATTATATTAATTACCAAGACAAAAATGTGGTTCGGATTCCACTATAAACTGTAGGTCCCTTGGTTGACATTAGCTGTATGGGCAATTAACAGCTGTGTCTAAGGAATATGTCGGCCCTAGTCACTAACAAAACAAGACTACAAGATCGCGCCATTCATCCTACACTCATCTCCTTTCATACTTGGCTTATAATACCTACTTTATATTGTTGTCATTTTATTGAAAAGTATTAAAGTATTAAACTGTACATAATACTAACCAATTTGTAAATGGTATGTTTCTAAAGTTTTAGCTTAAATTGCCTCATAAATTAATGTGGTTTTTCGGTTTATAATCTTACTAGCAGAGTACCCGTCCTTTGTACGGGATTGGCATATAAATATAAATGCTTAGTGCAGTTATATTCAAGCTTTTCGTTTGCAATGGTGGGGGGGGGGCACAGTTTGATCAAATTTGCTTCTTTATTTTTTTATATAATAGTATTACACATCTACCATAGCCATACGGTAATGTTTTGCTACTTCACCTAAACAATAGAGAAAAATTAATTAATAAATTCCCAAAATATCACAAATTATTCATGAAATTAAAAACATAAACATAGGCCTAACTGTAAACAATCCTAATTTGACAGTTTTCATTGCATATTACAGTTTTTTTGTTGCTGCTTAGTTCAAATTAGCTGGTTTCATAAATGAAAAAAAAGAATAATAGTGCTGCACCCTGTTGGTAAATTTTATAACTTTTAATGCTTTTGAATATCATAGAACCAACTTTTTAGTTGAAACAGCTGACTAAATTCTTTAATTCCCTTTAAATATGAATACTCATAAGGTTAACATGGGGAACTACAGAGCCACTGCGGCGGAGCCCGGAAGGATTTTTTTGATAAGATTATGCCTATTTGTTAATCTGGAATGTGAGCTATCATTATGCCAAATTTCAGCCCAATCCGTCCAGTATTTTTTGCGTTTACTTGTCACAAACATACATACATCCATACATCCAAACTTTCTCATTTATAATATTAGTAGGATTAGTTCAATTGTAAAATAAGACATTGTGGTATGCAAAAGGTCGGGTAGTTCTGATCTTTAAATGACTTCTTGATCAGCATTGTACGTGCTATTAAATTTACGGAAAGTAAATAAAGATACGTCTTATAACACTTAAAACATATTTACGCTTATACTGTTACTCACAAGACGGTAAATATACAAAAGATGGTAAGTGGTGATCGATTTCGATTGGACACTCCAATCATCATCAGACCCAATAGGCGAATGTATATTTACCGTATATCTTTTGTATATTTACCGTCTTGTGAGTAACAGTATAAGCGTAAATATATGTTTTAAGTGTTATAAGACGTATCATTATTTACTTTCCGTTCTGATTTTTGGATATGTTGTTAGTGTTGGGTCCATAACATAAAATCCAAGTTATCCACCTCGAGATACCTCCGCGGGGCGCGCCACTTTTTGCCAGAAATAGCAAAAATCTGACCATTCCTGTGGGTTTTCACTCTATCTCGCGAACAGTTGATTTTACTGAAAGTATTACTTTATATAATTAAACGAGGATAAATTTGTGACAGTTTAAGCCCAACATCAAGTATGTAGCGTAAATAATGGTCAAAATACAGACCTTCAAAATAAAAAAATATTCCAAAGATGTATAAAAACTGTGGTTTTTAGCGAATTTCCCATATAGGGAATAAGCTATTACCGTAGTACTCATGGTAAGACCTGGACCCTGGACCGATTTTTTTTTTCGTTTTGAAGTCCCTAGAGACCAAAAACACCATCCGTTCAAATTCATATCTTCTTCTTTTCTTGCATGTTTAGGGCTACTAATATAATAAAAATAAAAAACATAGTTAACAAAGTACCATTTTAGTAATTATTTTATTTTTAATGACGACATGTTTCAGAGACTAAGTCCATTATCAAGTCATATTTACCATAACCTCATTCTTAAAACCAACAAAATTAAAAATATAATGATATGTAAAAATAATGAAATATGTTAAATAAATCTTAATAAATTTTGGTTTCAATTTTTTTATTATACTATATTAATGTTTTTCTTTCTCTCCTTAGTTTTTCAATTTTATCGTAAATAGGTTGGTTTAATTTTGAAATCATTGTGTTAAGTATGTTCTTGGGGATATTTGGGGGTATTTGTTGTGTAGATAAATATTTAGCTCTTCTTTTACATTAAGTTTCTTACGTTCTTTTTCATATTCTAAAATTGTTAGATTTTCTTTCATGTTTTTATTACTGTGGTCTGAGTTCATTATATGTTCGGCGAAGTTCGACTTCATTGATGTTTGATTTTTTGATTTCAATGTTTGTAGGTGTTCTTTGAATCTTTTTTTAAAACTTCAAGATGTTTGACCTATAATTGCTACAGTCACTACAGTTTATCTTGTAGATTCCTGATTTGTTGTACTTTCCGTCTTCATTATTTTCTGTGTATTTGATTTTTTTATTGATTAATTGGAATATATTGTTCTTAATTCTTTAACTTACTCTTATATCCGAGTTTTTAAATGTATTTCTTATTACTTTAGTCATAGCCTATACTGTATTTGTTATAAGGCATACACATATATTTCTTTTTCTCTTCATTTTCCATTGATTTTCTTTGCTTTTATATTTTGTTTTTCAATTTCTTCTTTATCATATTGTCTATCATTTTTGCCCTGTAGCCATTTTTCTCTGCTAAGTATTTAATGGTATTTTTCTCTTTTTTGAAGTTTTCTTTATTCATGGGAATGTTAAAAAGTCTGTGGATAAGTGAATGGAAAGTAGTGATTTTATGACTCCAAGGACATAAATAAACAAATTATGTCGTCTACATATCTGTACCAGTATTGGGTTTTCTCTTTATTTGGGTTACAATCATTCATTATTTTGGTAGTTTCCATTTCTTTCATGAATATATCTGCCATTATTCCATTACAATCATTCATTATTTTGTAGGGATGGACGAGATTGGATTTTTAGTTCGAGACGAGACGAGACGAGATTTTTTATTTCTCATAAAATTTTGAGACGAGATCGAGACGAGATTTCTCTTCTCATACACAACGGGAAATGCACGTTCAAAATTTTTACCTGATTTTGTAACATTGTTAGATGACTGTTTAAATACTAAAATAATGATAATAGGCAAGAATATTTACAATCTTTCATTAAATAACATCAGCATAACATTTTTTTATTAATCACGCCTAACTTATTAAAAATGCCTACAATTAGGAAACATGGTGATATCAGTTAGGATAGAGTTCAACTTATCCTAAAATAAAATAAATCATAAAATAAAAGCAATATTAATTTTTATAAAATAGTTACTTGTTTTGACTTTTTTATAGTAATAAAACATTCCTCACACTGCTTACACTTAACAAAACTTCTCAAATGTTATTAAAGTAATATTATTAAAATAATGAAAGTAATATTTACATTAAAAGAATTAAAGTAATATTTACATTAAAAGAATTAATTAAATAAAAGCGCCTTCGAAAAGGAAACGCAACTACAACACGCTCCTGTATTGCGGGTATTGCATTGACTTTCTGCAGGCGTTTTTAATTTTTTTTTTTTTTTTTTTTTTTTTTTTTAATTCTTGTCTCGATAAAAATCTCGGCCAAAAAGTAATCTCGTCTCGTGTAACGAGATTGAAAATTTCCCGAAAATTTCCCGAAATTTCGAGACTTGACCATCCCTATTATTTTGGTAGTTTCCATTTCTTTCATGAATATATCTGCCATTATTCCAGATAGCCAACCCATTGGAACACCATCTTCTTGTAAATAGATTTTTTAAGAATGAGGTTATGGTAAATATGACTTGATAATGGACTTAGTCTCCGAAACATGTCGTCATTAAAAATAAAATAATTACTAAAAGGGTACTTTGTTAACTATGTTTTTGATTTTAATTTAATATATATATATATATATATGTCCGTTAGCGCGATAACTCGAGCAAAAATGATACGATTTTGATGAAATTTGGTACAAACGTGTAAACCTACGTTTATTCGAACGAGTTCGCGAACCAGCAGGATTGGACCATGAGAACGGGGGTTTATGGGGGCTTTTATGGGGTAAATATGGGGTTTTCCCATTTTTGACCCAAAAAAACATAAAATGTTGCAATTTCTTTACAAACTATTTTGTAGAGCTTAAAAAAACAAATAATTTAGTATATTGAATCATTATAATGCGCCTAATGGTTACGGAGAAAATTCCAAAAAAATTGTAAATTTAAAATTCCCATGTTATTTTTATGGAGAATAAGTAAACTGTTGTAGTTTGCTTGTTTATTAACATATTTTGCCCAAATTTGGAAAATGTTTTTATTTCTTACTAACTATTAACATTTTTACATACAAAAATACTTTTACCCTCCCTGTTGCAGCAAACCTAAGTACGTGGTAAACTGATTCTATTTAAATAGGGAATAAATTTGATATTTTAAAGGAGACATTTTAGTGTAAATCCAATCAGGCAAATGGGAAATCGCTTAGTCTGCAGGTTTGCTGCGGCGGGGGTATTAAATATTTCCACAATATAGTTGTTTGAAGCAAACACCGTATTGATTTAGAGAGTATGCCAGTTTCTTTGTTATTAATAGAAAATAAATGAAAGTAAGAATAAAAATCCCCCACCTCAGCAAACCTGCATACTAAGCGAATTTCCATTTGCTTGATTTGATTTTCACAAACCTATTAAATAACATTAGGTTTAATTAGTGCCTTAGTTTGCTGCTACAGGGAGGGTAATATAGTATATCTTTTAATAAAATAATAATAGTATGATAAGAAACAAATAAATGTACGCAATTTTATAAAAATGTATCTAAAAATAAGGAAAAACAATAGTTAAAAATATTTTCCATTAGAATATCATGGGGGATTTTTGATTTGCATTTTTTATCTCGAGGTGGATAACTTGAATTTTATGTTATAGACCCAACACTAACAACATATCCAAAAATCAGAACTACCCGACCTTTTGCATAGCAACCCCTTATTTTTCTGACATGTTTACAAATACTGGACTATTATATGAATGAATTAATAATGAAAGAGCTGTTCACCCGACCTACATACGGTAATCAAGTAGTCAATTAATGAATATGATTCAGAACAGCTAGTTTACAATTTGGTGGCAGATTTACACACACTGGTTTTGAGTACAGTAGCTACATACCACCTCCCTTTGCATACTATCACTTGACGCTAATACCGAAACCCTACCCAGGCTGATGCTAACCAAAACCCCTGGTCTGTGTGACCCTATTTGAAAATAATGGACCCCGCTTAGAAACAAAAAAAACCTGAGACGGGCATGTTATGAACACAAACCTGTCAAGGTCACTTCACCCTCACAAAATGAATAAACAATATATCAACAGGTAGGAAGGAAAAAGGGGGGAAGGTATTGGGGAGAATAGAATTCCCCAAGTAAACAGTGTTGCTAACATGCATTATTTGTGAAAATTCCTGTGGGCCTATCAGACCGGGGTTTCGGTAAAAGTTCAACATCATAAAAATTGTATAGGCTTCTATAGATTAGTAATAAATGATCAACTATTATTATTTCACACATTTACTCCTATAGTTGTTTTAAAATAATATGTCATTTCTCCCCTTCCAGCTAAAGTGAGGGGGAAAATCGGAAAAGCCAAGGAAGCGGCAGCAGCATCTCCTTTAGTCCCATCCATCACCATTTTATCAGAGAAGAAACTATTTCTTGGACAGAAGGTAAGCGAATTGTTACATTTTGTTAGGAACGTATAGGCAGTATAGGCCTACATATCAAATAACTTCTTCAGTCAGTCATTAGAAATAATTTAAAATACTAGGTCTAGCATAAATTTTTCCAAAAATAATGAAAAAAATAATTATGAAATCTGCACCCCAGTTTGCTGCCAATAAATGCATATATTATAGGTAGTACCCTCACCTCAGTGCAAAAGTGATTGATGAGTGTCCACTGCTTTTGAGAACTGTAAAGATAGAATAAAACAAATTCTTCTAAGAACTTTTATTCAACATTCAAGATTCAACTAACTTAAAAACAAGTCAACAACTTAGTAACCAATACCCATATACCATGAGTAAACATATAAATAATTACTAAACCACATGTCATTCCATTACATCTTCTCTCCCATGATACAATGTTAAAACTGATTCCGTAATGTAGGTTTAACTTCCCTTCTGGTCCTAGTGAAATACCGTCCATTAACTTTTCTGCCTCTTTCCCATTCCACTCTATTTTCTTCTTTCTTTCCAAGAAGAAAATAAAAACCCCTAGTTGGTTTAAAGGAAATAAAATACAAAACAGATAATTAATTATTTTCATAAACATTAGAAAGGTTATAGGATTGATTGAACTAAAATAAACTTATAAGTAGAAAAGTCTTCAACCACAATCTGTTTAATCAGTACATTGTTAGAGAGAGATAGAGAAATAGAGAGATAGCAGATAGGGGCGTTTGATACGATACTCGTTTACAGCCTTATTGTGTTGCCCACTACATTTGCTCACGTGACCACTTTTTGTTTCTTCCTTATCTTTCATCCGTCCCAAAATAGAATTCCTGAAATTGTTTGTTGGTATAATCTTCCCTCCCACACAAGGCGCAGTGCTCAGTGCGCACTGTAGGTTGTCATGGCAACCGTGTGTCGTCATAGCGACAAGCCAATCACGCACTCGCACTGCGTTGTATATTACGATACGAATAGCTGTTAGAAAGACAACGCGATAGGTGGACGTTTGTCTCTTTCCTATCTCCTCAAAATTACGATCGATAATCATTGCGTCTTGACTGAGCTGAGGTTCGTGCTTATCAAACGCATGAACAACGTAGAATTGTGATAACATTGTTTTCAATTATGACCCAAATTAAGTGTTTTGACTTTGTATTAAAAGCTCGTCTCAAACTTCGAGCTTTTTCAAAACGCCTCGAGCCGAGCCGAATAATGAAAAGCTCGACCAAAAAGCTCGAAGATTCGAGTACTCGCACACCCCTAATCTGCATACAATCTAGTTTTCCTCTCAGGATTATACAAATTATTATTATTATATTATTATTATTATATAAATTGAAAGGAGATAATTTAATGTCTTGATCAGTTCTGAAAGGTTGGGAAGAAACAAGAAACTTCATTAAATAGTTTACCATTCCAAGAAAACATTTAACTCGGGTTAGATTTTTTGGAACAGGATACTTCTCCACAGCCAAGGTCTTTTCTAGGGGTCTGCGGGTCAGACTTTTTTGGTTCAGGTCGGATCGGATCGGGCCAAAAAATCATTAGATACCCGATTTTTTTGTTTTAACTATATCTGTCTTTATAATTTTACTTGATAATAAAATAATAAACAAATATTTTACTTATGTATATTTTTTCATTTTCATATCTTATTTACAGCGTTTGAATTGCCTCAACTGCAAGAAAGAAGAAAATATTTTTTTATCAAGACATTCTTTCCAATTTTCATAACTGTTGAAATAACTAAATAGCTAAATTACAACAAACTTTGAATGGATCTTAATATAAAAGATCATAAACAAATCAATTAACATATCACAAATTTAGGGCCTGTTGATTGGCTTCAAGACTGCAAGCAAGAAGATGATAAAAATTCCATGTTTCCACCATGCAATATGTACCATTCATTCCCTGCCTAACCTCCTACCTAAGTATAAAAAACTCACACTTGCAATAGCATTATTAGTTACCGTACATCATTATAAACACATAATTGATCTATTATTGGCATTAGTAGGCCTACAGCTTTACATAAGAATTATTTTTATAGGGCCTAAAATAGTAATAGACTAAGCAACATAACAAGTGGAGAACTCATTGAAGAAAAGATGTGGTGTAAACTGATTTACTATAAACTCAAAAACAGTACTTAACACACAAATTGCTTATGGTATAATTAATTAGGAAGGACTGCAAAAACTGCATATTGTGTCATACAGTTACAGTAGTATAGATAGACCTACTGCAAGAAATTAAAATCTAAAAACAACTAATTTTGATAGGTAATTGTTATGTATTGTAAGTTTATATATTGAAATAAGTAGTTAAATAAATGTAAGATGAAAAATGAGCCTTATTTTTCACTAGTTTATTTACATTAATTGAATCACATTTTTGAACTAACAGATGATTAAAATACTAAATGCATAGCATTTGAAACATAGAGATACAACAGTTTCTTCCCCACTAAATTTGATTCATAAGTCCAGTCTTTTTCGTTACTTTCTTGTTCTGACTGATTTGCGAGGAACATCTGTTGAAGCATTGTCGTCTGTTTGAGGATTATTATGTTCACTGCGTTGAGGCCTGATTTCTGTATTTTCCAGATCATTGTCCTTGAATGTCACGTTCTGTTGTTGCGAACTGGTATTTTCTTTAGGAGATGAGCTGGAGGGTGTTTTGTCTGTTGTTTCTGGCACTGATGTTCTCTTCAACTGATCGATGTGTCTCTTGCCAATGTAACCGTTGTCCAGTTTGACTTTGTAGTGCAGAGCTCCAAGTTGAAAAATAACTTTTCCGAACTTCCAGCCGTCTAAGGAACGTACTAATATTCTCTCCCCCACTTTAAATGAGCGGCTTACTTGTTGAAAGCCTGGATGTAATGATGTGTTTTTCTTAGGAGGTTTGAGAGCATCTAGTTTTGTTCTGATCTTTCGATTCAAATACAGTTCAGCCAGTGATTGTCCGCATTGTAGAGGTACAGCTCGGTAGCGAAACAGTATGTCTTGAATTTGTGATTTAATATTCTTTTGATGATCTTCAGCAGTATTTTTCAAAGATTTCTTTAACGTTTGCACATAGCGTTCCGCTAACCCATTGGTTGCTGGGTGTCCTGGGGCGATAAATTTTTGAAATATGCCTCTTTGTCGGCAGAAATCTGTAAATTCTTGACTAGTAAAAATTGTGGCATTATCAGAAACTAGTACAGCAGGATATCCATGTGTAGAGAATATATCATTTAGAAATTCTATTGTCGTAGCCGTGGATGGTGCGTTTTTGGTTATTCGAACTTCAGGCCGTTTAGATTTAGCATCAATCACTACTAGGAAATGGTGTCCATTAACCCTAGCAGTGGCCGATCGTCGTCTGGTGACGATCTGACGTTGATGCTTAAAATGGCCAAAGTCGTCTGGTGACGATCTGGGCCGAAATTTTTTTAGCGGTAAAAAAACACTTACAATCAACTCAGATGAGAATAATATATATACCATTCGAAAGATCACATTCTGAACTTTCATTTTATTACATAAACAAACCCTGTAGCAGGTATATAACAATGTCACGACGATTAGAAATCAAATGAATTTTTGGCCTGGCACGACTTTTGCAGCCGACACTTGGGAACTGGCAAAACACGTCTTGTTTGGCATTACCCTGCTCGGATAATTTTCATCGTGGGATGGGTGGTACCACTGGATAGCCATTGATTTTATCTTCATTGTGGTAGTAATATTTAGAACGAAATATTGATTGCACAACCGGTACGATTTTATGAAAACAGCTGTTTTCGAAATTTTTAACAAATGGCCAATGGTCGTCAGGTGACGATGTGGAAAATACGAATTACATACACTGTAAGTTATTATTACTAGTCATATAATATGTCATTTTGAAGAGGAAGAAATATAGATTGTGAGAGTGGCAGCCCTGCGCTCAGGGTCTGCTCACATATGAAGACGACGGAAGTGAGTCATTACTGCTACAGCTGTCTTGTGTATTCGCCATTGTTTGTTGTTGCCGTGAGTGTTCGCTCTGGTGTTATCTGCGATTTATTACTAAATACGTTATTAGTTCGTAGTGTTAGTGTTAGTGAAGTTTGTGTGTGTGTATAACAGTAATCTTCATGCATTTTATTATGCATAAATATTACTGAATTGTGTGAAATAGTGTTCATAAAAGGTTATATTTTGTTAGCATCATGTCCTAAAATGACGATTCTGACATTCAGAGATTGTTGTACGAGCTATATATGCTATATAATGATTTACCCAAGGTGTTATACATTTTTATAAAGGTAAATGAATACACTACAACATGTTAATATTGGTTTGGGTGTAAAAAATTTGGTAAAAAAGTTATAGGCCTAGCCTATACTAAATACTGTATTTTGTTAGCATCATGTCCAAAAATGAAGATTCTGACATTCAGAGATTGTTGTACGAGCTATATATGCTATACTGTATAATGATTTACCCAAGGTGTTATAAATTTTTTTTATAAAGGTAAATGAATACACTACAACATGTATATATTGGTTTGGGTGTAAAAAATTTGGTAAAAAAGTTATATACTAAATACTGTACACTCCATTTTCTCGAAATGCGCAAAAAATTCAAAGTTCTGAAATTGATACAATAATCATAGGTGAAAATAACTTTTTACCATCATACTAATGACTTTTTTTGGATTCCTTACTTCATTAGCTTTACAAATATATACATATCATCAGCCTACATAATGTTTTACAACACAAACAAACACTGTATAGTTTACACTTATTTGCGGTTTTGCGGTTATTGTATTATTATGTCCCTATTACGTACCTACAAAAAAAATATTTCTAACATGTTATACATTTTTATGTAGGTAATTGAATACACTACAAGATTATTATGTTGGTTTGAAGTAAAAAAATTTGGTTCAAAAGTTGTATACTAAATACTGTGAATTTTTTTTCTCGCGAAATCGCAAAAATATAAAAAACA